ATATATATATATATATATATATATATATATATATATATATATATATATATATATATATATATATATATATATATACATATATATACACCCAACCTTTTTAAGATTGTGGACTACTTCATGATCACTGAGTCACCCGAGCGCCTGCTCGGGTGGTCAGATCTTCTGAGGTCCTCTGCATGTCAGTGGCGTTACGCTATATGATTGACTGAACTTTGCAACATGACCTAAAACATTGCAGTTGCCCAGACAATAATAATAACAATACGTCTGCAGCATCGGAGCATATGTAATGTTAGCGTGTCAAATGACAGATGAAGTTTTACCCTATTGACAACAAAACTGAAACTGGTTTATTATTAAAAAAATAAATAAATAAATAATTGCAAGACAATGATATCAAGGGGGAGAGCTGGGTAGCACTGTGTTTAGCTGTGCTCAGTAGCTAACAGGTTAACCTCTTTTAGCTTGGTCAGTTAGCCATATTAAGCTAAACTACTTTTAACTTTGTGTTAACAACAATCATTCATTTTCTACAAGTAGAATAGTTTTTGTTTTCTTTGTTTAAAAATCATTATAAAAGTAATTTTTTTGATGTGCCATTTTTCCTCCCCTGCCCTTAGGGCTTAATAAACAGAATAGCAAGAAGCACTGAGACTTTTTGTGTCACCTTGTTAAATGGCAGTGCTCAGCTTGTCTTAGAAGGCAGAGTTTCCTTAAAGATTGAGAATGACTGTTTCTATTTTTGGCTACTTTAGATCACCAATGAAATGTAAAATAATAGCAAAAATTGGTAATAATATGCTGAGACTCCAGACGAGATCTGATTCTTAAACAGGTGCAATACAGTGTGTCTGGTTGGCATTGCCATATGATGATGTCGTCATAAGAAGGGGCAGGCCCCTGAGCAGGTACCTACACCACCACTGCCACACAGCAGTAAAAAAACAAACAAACACAGATGAAGCAGAGCAGCAGCAGAAACAATGGAGGATTTTAGGACCCCAAGACTTAGAATCTATAGTGACATATTTATTTCAATATGCCATATGCTTTTATGTTTTAAATTTATAATGTATTTTTATTAATTAACCCGCATCTAAAAGGCTGACTGTTAAAAAAATGTTAACTGTGTTAATGTAATGTATTTAAGGCTATCTTTATCCTCATTATATATACCTCTATGTGGTTTGTTCAAACCATATAATTTCATGTATCAGGGAAATAATTTATGACATCTTCACATATGTGAACTTACATCAAAGCAAAGCTAAAATTAAAACCTGTTTCTATTTAAAGTAAAGTACTTGGATGGATTCCAAGTGTTTTAGATCTAAGGTGTTACATATTTTAATATGTATAGAACAATTAACCTAATGGAAGCCTAATTGTTCAATTCTTAAAGACTGTCAGATTCCATGACCTTCACTCTGTGAAGTGCCTGGAGATGTATTGAATTTAAGTTCAATAAAATTTTAGCAGATTAATAGAACACCTCTTGGAGTCTGTGGTTGTAAAAGAAGTAAAACACCTTTTTTTTTAGTTGTCATTATTGTTTTTCAGTGAATATTACCAAAATGTAACACTGATTTATTAACATTAGATGAATACGTTTTCAACCTGAAAGTTGAGGCTCTTATTTTTAGCTTATTTTTTGTTAGGATTCCTGTATCAACTGACAGCTTGTGTGGATTACGGCCTTATTAGAAGGAGAGGACACAGGAACATGTTTTGGGGGAGGGATGGTTCACATCATCAGGCAAACAAAGAGCAACGGTGATAAAGATGTCTGTGATGATGCATTATTTAGAACATTGAAAAAGCGAGAATCAGGCCAACATGTCGGCTTGAAATGAGTCAGAATGCTTATTTGTAAGATGAAAGATTGAAAGAAAAAGAAGTAAACAGACAAACTAAAAAGATATTTGGCATCCTGCCTTTTTCCCAGCTGATCCCTCGTCTAAGCCAGCACAATATGGCTGATGTCCCTGGTGTTTGCTTCTTTGTACCATTGTGCTCTACGCAGCAAAGGGGCAAGAAGTATTTATTTTTACTGTATTTTGTGAGGTTCCTTTAGCCTGCCAACTGTGCTCTGGTTAAAATGTTTTTTCAGAGAGTTGATATGTGCAGAACCATTTCAAGGAAAGCAGTAGCAACTTTTTCAATATGGACGACAACCCAAAGCATGCTCATTATTTATGTTTTTATTACACTGTAGCACGTGTGTGAATTATTCCATTTCATCTTCTATCGATACAGCTATGTTTGCTTCCATTAAAACCGAGATCCAGGCTTTGTGTAATCATGGTAGTACTTCATTAAGGGGGTGTTAGAAGAGCGCAGATCTTGCTGAAAAGAGACAACTTCTTGCTTTATAAACAAGGGAATCAGTCTCAGATGCTCATAGCCTGAGAGAGTCTAATCACTAAGCAAAACACTACATTTGATGAAGTGTTTCTGAAGGTGTGTGTTGGGGCACTGTTGAGATAGACTCAATCCATCCTTAATGAAATGCTTTGGGCTGCAGAGCTAAGTCGAGCTGAGCTGAACTCTCTCGGGGATTGATGGTTAGTCAGGGCGTACAGAGTGATAGGCCACCCATCACTAACCGCGATCCTCGCTAAATCCCCATCAATGCAGTGGTTAATCACTCTAACCCCACTCTCCTTCGCTCTTCACTCCTCTCTCCTCTCTGCCACACACAAAGACACATAAAAATTCATAGCCTTGAAGAAGAGAGGAGTTTGGGGATTTATCAATGCCAAGTATCCACTTCAGATCCTAGCGATAGCCTTGAGGACTTGAGAGAAAAGAACAGCAGCCAGATGCAGCAGAAGTCTGGTTCTTAGGTGTACTTATGTCCATCAGATGGAGAAATAGAAAAGTGAAATAGCACCAGTTAGCTGGTGACATGAACGGTCTAACAAGCAGGATAATTATGTCATCTAAGAAATTGACTTTTTTGTTCCTGTAATTAATAGGTGATCATGGATTTTGTACTCCATAAGATGTAGTCTGGGGTTACATATATTACAAAAAGATATAATATTATACTCCTTTTGTAATATTACAATAAATGTTACTATAACCTGTATTTTCTTGTTTTTTTAATTGCAGTTATCCCTTTTAAAGTTCTCATATCTATGTACTTTTTAGAATAATTATATTAATCCTTTATAAACTATCTATTTAGCTTGTAAAAAATTAAGCATTGGCTAATATTCTAGTGGGCACCGAATGATGATCAGTGGAGGGCAATTTTTGTAACTTGGTGAAAAACGAGTTTGAGCCGGTAGATGTTCTGTTTCTGCTGATTGTGAGTTGGACCTGTGAAGGATTCTGTTCCAAAGCCAGTATTAAGAGCTTTATTTGTTTTTTGAAAGTAAGATGTTCCAGGATTTTTCTCTATATAATATATTTTAAATATTCCTCGAGGAAAAAAAAAACAAAAAACAAACAAACCCAATCCATTTATTCAGTAGGAGGATTCCAAACACAATGAGTCAAAGGTCCTAATTGTAAAGCTCTGAATCACACAGGTGTAAGGGAAATATGGGGCTTAACACTTTGATAGTGATTTTACAGCATTTACTGTGATAAAACAACAATATCAGCCGGTATTTTGTTTTTATTAATATCAGCTTTTCTCCAGTGTAGTGTGGCCCAGCAGCTAAGAGTAGGCTGAGTACCATGTGGTGTGCAGAGCGAATATTGAGAATATTAGTTTTACTGCATTGTGGGATTTATACTTATGAGTAACATCACTTTTTAATGCGTAGTGTATTCTCTCTTGTTTTTCTGAACATATCTCTATGTAAGCCACTGTTTGAAAAAATGAAAGATTGTACTCCACATAACAGAAAATATGGACAAGTTTTACAGCCAGTTTTTAATACAGCAAGTCTGCATGGAAGAAGCTTGGTTTCCTTCAGCATTACTGTTCGTAGTATCTCAATGGGATAGCTAACTTTCATCTGTTAGCGAATACTTTATATCATGTATCAGCTGTACATCTTTTCTGTTAAAATCTGATTAAAAAAAAAAAGATGTGACAAAGACAAGGCAACACTTTAAAGACATTTTTCCAAAGTGTAAACCAACTGTTCTTTTTTCCAGGGATGTCTGGCAGAAGAGGACTGAAAATATGTTCTCTGTAACTAGGGACTGCTTTCACCGAGTTACTGTTGGTAGTCATGTTCACTTTGGATTTAGAAATGTTTGTGGTTGTTGGAGTCTTGCTATTTGAAGGCTTTATTTTACTCTAGAGACACAAAGACCTCTGATTACAGCGAGCATTGCTAACCACACCAGCTATAGAGATGTGAAATCAATCATCAGTGGTTACAATTAGATTTTGGTGCCAAGTGATCACTAAAACACCTTCTAAAAAAGATGATTCTGTGATGTCCCTGTTCTTCTTAATGTAGGACAGACTTTGCCACAAGAAGCTGGTGGAAATGCAGAGGAGGAGTAGGTCTACATAGTTGCAGGATCATGCATGTTTGAATGTTGCCAACTACAACCTCTAAGAAGTAGTTCAAAGTTTTTACTGGTATAATTGTGCGTCTTCGGTGTATAACTGTCTTCATGCAAATACCCCCCCTAAGAGAACGCCACTGCCCCTCCTCTGCAAATAATATTGCCAGAACCCCTGTCCTCTTCTAAACGCCCCCTAGGGGGCGATACCAACTCTGTTGAGAAACACTACTCTAGCTACCTCACTGCCACCTATTGGTCTGGAGTGAGTTTATCAATGTTACCAGTGTTTGTCTTTAGGTTTCAGCCCCTTTCTTTTTTTTGTATTTACATAGTGGTCTGTTATTCAAACCCCTAAAGACCTGTGTCCTCCAACTTTTAAGATTTGCTGTGGCCCTCGAAAACTAGGGTTTTTAAGAGGAGCAGAGAAAATAGTAATTAAGCCCCTTTTTCTGTCTAAATGGGATTAATAGTTTGTTTGAATTGACTTTTAGAAATTGTTTTAAAAGTACTTTCCTTGGTTAATTTTTGAAAGAATGCTGCTTAAGTGATGCACATAGATACAACCATGATGAGGCTTCTACTGTGTGAAATCTTTAGTCAGTTGCTCTCACAGGGCAATCTTAGATGTGTTGAACAGGTGTGAGGAAGGGCTATGGGGTCACTATCTAGCTCAGGTTGGACCCAGTAATTTAGCTAAACTGAGGGATCTGCTCCTCCCTCCTGAGACAGGCAACACAATAGGTCTCACTTTGAAAGTGGAGAGGGAACGGAGGGGTATGGACAGTTTAACTAAGATGAATGAGTTCAGTTGGCCAAAATGCCTACTTTGATTAGTCTTTACACTTGGTCTAATTGAGCATGCATGTTTGTGAGTATAAATCCTTCTTTGCCTATGGGTTCAAACTTAAATTCAGGTTGGGACACCAATATTCGAGTGTGTATCAGGTTCCCCCTCCCTCTCTCGGGTTGTAAAACTCTCACTATCCTAAGACTCATTCCTCCCTCTTGACTGAATTTGCTTGTCTTCTCAGCATGAGTGTTTAATCTTTTCAGGCTGGTGAATCAGCCCAGTGAATGAGTCCCCAGGTCCTCCTCTGTAGGAGCCCTGGAGATTATTCTAAAGCACTAATCGTTGAGCAAACACAGCAGTGCTCTCCCATTCCTATTCGACACAGGCCACAGTATAGCACAACTTCTTCTTTCAGTTTCCCTCACATCTTACGCACTGTGTATTTCTTTTGCTTTCTGGCGCACGTATCCTAGATTACTGCTCCTGAGAAACAGGCCCCTTAGCTCCCACCATCGCAGCCCTGCTTAAAATGAACCGAGCACAGATTGAGTGTTCTTGTTTGTTCTTTTATAAGGCCCAAAGTGACGTGTAATTTAAAGAGCATTATTTCCAACATTGTCCCCTCAAACCCTTTACGTTTGTGGGTGTGTTTGTTTTTTAATTAGATTGTCAGAAGGGAAAATCTAGCAGGCTTATATGATGGTGTCAATATCCCCGGATTTGGAGCTTCGTCAATATTGTCTGGCCTTGCTGCTACTAACCTGAGCAGGCTGCTGGCATTTGGTATAAAATAAATAGAGTGATTTGTCTGTTTTGTTTTTGCTATATCTGCCTCGCATCTATGAGAAGTTTTATTTACACCACTCTCCTTTTGATTGTGTCTGCTATTTGCTGGTTTTGTCAGCTGTGGCCTCGTTTTGAGCTGTAAAAGGCCCTTCGCCTAGTTGTCTTTAATATTGCTTCTTGTTCTCTTACCCATATGCAGTAAAAATGGCAGATAATAGATGAACCTTAATTATATTTGCAAGGGGTGCTTTTTCTGGATCAACTCTAATCAGTAGTCAGAAAGTCAAATGCTGATGATCATCACTAAATCCTTTTAAACTAAGAAGTGCATCTGTTTTCCTGTCTACAAATAGTAAACATCATGTACTATGATGCACTTTTTGTTCAGTGTAATAGAAAATATTAAATAAGGGGGTTGGTGTGTTTAAGTCAAACATGCGACCTCTGTCTAAAGAACTAGTAATATTTAATGAGATTTTTCAAATCTAGAGATACTTTTCATAACTAATAATAAGCCTATAAGTGCATCTCAAGTCGAAAATAATGTCATTCTGTTTTTAAAGAAAAACTGCTTGTTTTATTGCAATCATCATTATTGCTACTTTGCAATTATACCTTAAGCTGCTTCTACGAAAGGTGAAAAAAAAATCCATTCTTTAGCCCGTTCTCTGTCTAATAGCCTTTTTTAAAAACAATTCATCTTCGAAATTAGAAAAGAAAAAGGCATCTCATATCACTTAGGCAAATATGTTGATTCTATATGGTAATATTCTTGTATTTTCTGCCTCTAATCTTCTTTTTTTCCTTTCTTACAGAGAAAGCTGTTGGCCATCTACCTCCACAATGATGACAGCGTCCTCAGCAACGTCTTTTGTTCCCAAATGATGTGTGCAGACTCTATTGTCTCCTACCTGAGCCAGAATTTCATCACATGGGCCTGGGATGTCACTAAAGAAGCTAACAAAGCCAGGTAAAGCACCTCATTTCTCATTGTTTCCATCAGTGCTGCTTTTCATCTGATTAGCAATAATACCAAGTGTGCATTTTCCAACTTAAAGTTGAAATAATTGGATTTCATTTCAAATATTAATGGGAGTCAAAATAAGTTCCTAACATTTTCCTAACAAAAAGTATTTATGGGGTTAATACCACCTTAAAAGGTTTTGAGAATTTATTAAAAGATCTCTTTCCTATACATCCAATATATATACTACTATACATATCTACTTTTTAGTTCCCAATACAACAAGTGGTGTAGTGTCTAAGATGGTTTTCAGAAATCATAGAGATTTTATCCCTAAGGTTTAAGAAGGAACAAAATATATCATTTAATGCATCAATGAAATAAAATGTTGACTCAGCATTTATTCATTTATCTTTTTCACAGTCATTAGACTTTTGATTTGGACTTCAGGTTTTTAGGACCCACTCAGCCTTTAGCTGAACTAATCAGAGGTGAAAGTAAACCAGTATCAAACTGACAGATCAGTTCTGACAGGGAGGTTAGATGTTAGAGAGATTTTATGATTATTCCTCCATTATTGGCCTCCATGTGTTTGCTGAAACTAGGAAAAAATAAAAACGTATTTCTTTCAATTCAAATCAGGAAAAAACAAACTTAACTTTCTGTACTTGTTTGAAATGTGAAAATTGTTTTTTTACCATTTCTTCGTTACCATGCTATTTTCATGCTTTTTATATCGATATCTATGACTTTAATTAAATGATTACACACATGTTTCTATAAGCATCTCTTGTACCTATCAGTTATAGTCTGAGGTATTTTATCCTGACAGCTTTAACGTTCAAAATGGCAGCAACTTTGCCTTTAAGGCTGACTGCAAGCTAAATATTTATGTTTTATTCATGTCTGAATTCCAGTCTGGAGAAGTGAACAGTTTTCATTAATATTAAGGTGGATATGAGAAAAGGGATATTGAATGTATCTCACTATAAAATGACCTACAGACTTGAGAGCTACCAGTGTGTTCAAGAAGATTGCAGCCATCTTCTCCTTGAATCTTACTGGTTACTTCTTGGACTGAATTTTAAATGTTCAACTGTATAACTGTTGGTTATACAGGAAGCTGGAAGGAGTACTTAACCATCTGTAGTTGAGGGATTGCTGTTGAGTCAACGACACAATGCATGCGAATGTGTAGTGTCGCTACATGCTCATCGAGGAGGAGCGAACCCTGAAAAGTCAATAACTCGATACAGTGAGCTGGGTTTTCTTTGATGAAAAACTTTTAACAAATCCGACACTGAGACTCGATTTAATGTTTTTAATCTTTGTAAAGTGTCTTAATATGACATGCTGTGAATTAGTGCTGTATAAACAAACTGAATTGAATTAATAAAATTTGACGGGTCTTAACATGTTCATGCCCGTATCTCTGTTTTGCTCTCTCTCCAGCTCTATTCTGTGTTTAATCTTGGAGGTTGCATGCTAAAAAGGCGTTGTGTTTGCCCGGTGAGGCCCCTGATTGGGCATTTTTGACTAAGCTGTCTGAAAAGAGGGTCAGTGGGAGATGGACTCCCATGGAATCCAAATATCTCTTTCACTTCAATTACTCTGATAGTCCAAACCTCTTTAACCTGTTTTTGTAATGTGCTGGTGCCTACATCATCTGTTCAGTTTAATTTTCAAGCTTTTTTTAGGATTAAACTGTGAATTAAAAAAAAAAATCTTGCTCTTTTTCTCATTTATATCTCTCCACTGACATTCTCCCTCTTTCCTCTAAACTTGCTGAGTTAAGCCTGCCCTCTGGTAGTAGTCATTTAAGAAAGACTCGCTCCCTGACCTTACCCCCTTCCATTATATCCTTTTAGGAAACTCCCTCATTCCTTCATTCCGCTCTCTTTTCTCCCCTATTGGCCTCCTTTGCTTTTTGCCCCAGCTGAGCCTTTTTGTAGCACGTTAAAAGGGAGGCAACATCTGGAGCTTTTCATTGCACACAGCTAGTCGCAGCTTTGCCGCTAACGCATGCATGCACATGTGCAGGCTAACCGCTCACAAATGCATGGCTGTCCTGCATTCTCACGCTCCCCGGCTGATCTGGAGTGACTGGTGATTGGCATCAGTCACACAGGCTGTTAGAAAGGTATCCTAAGTGTGTAAGCAATAAACCTGCTGCTACTGGAATGTGCTATTCTCACAGACCGCCTCGTTAACTGATTAATAATGCATAAAAGCGAGGCTGGTGATTGGATGCCAGAGTTTTTTGTCAAAATTGTGGGAAAAGAGCTTTATTATCAGTACTCTGTAGACAGAGCCTTGTAGTTGCAATAACCGAATAATAATACCCACTTTACAGCCACAAATGTCAATGCAATTTATTTGGATTTTATATGATGGAACAAGACAGAGTGGCAAATAATTAGGAAGAAAAACAAAATTTACTGGCTTTCAAAAACTTTTGAAAAATATAATTCTGAAGTGTAAAATGCATTTATATTTAGTCATCCAGCTCCTATAAATAATGTCAGAGATTTTTAAAGAGAATTGGTTAAAAAACAAAACAAAAAACTACTCCCAGTAGGCCAAGGAGCACAGCAGACATGCCAGGGAGAAATTTATAAAGCAGTGGTACTCAAACTGTGTTTTTTTATTTTGAGTACCACATTAAACGTATCTATAGGATCTTCAAGTATCACCATAATGTTGGACAAAAAAAAATACAGCAATATAGGCCTGTTTTGCTATAGAAAACGTTTGAAAGGGAGGCAACTGCAAGAGCAATAGTACCAGCTTAGTGTAACCATCATATTAGAAATGCTAAATATATGTTTTAATTAATAAACTATTGAGAGGTGATTGTGTGACTCTGTGAACAGTTTTGAGTTGTGTGGATCAGCAGAGGAACTTTCATCTCATCTACATCTAGCTTGCTTCTCTGTTTACATCTAACTGGGTGAAGGAAGAGAAGCCTTTCCCAGACATAAACGTTGTTCTAAAAGGCAACAGAGAGCCCTTGTAGAAAGGATGGGGTATTCATTTTTGTCTGCTTGCACAAAGTGCTGCTTTGGACAGGGTACATTGGTACTTAACTCCGGGAAGCAACGTGTGCAGAACTTTGAGCTGAAGACAGAAACTCCAGAGCTCTGTGCCTTTGTGTGTTTTTTGCTAAAGTTTCCAACAACACAGACAAAAGTCACTGAATATATCTAGCTGTTAAAAGGGTTTGAAAATATGACGGCAAAGATGGCAACAGTGCCCATATGTTACTCACTACAGACATAATGAGAAGTCTTAGCACATAGGACAAGTATTTTTTTTATTTGACACACTTCTAGAGTTCCAATATTTCATTGATATAAAAAAATGCCTTGGGCTCCCTGTGTAATACCTGGTGGTACTTGCATACCACCACTGCAGAATGAGAAAGACTGCTATTGGAGATATTGTAAGTAATATTATGTTATAAAACAATGTTCCAAGCTTTGAATCAAATGGAGCTCTAAAGGACAGGTATGGCAATTGCTGCATTAATCATAGAATTAGCCTAGAGGTCAATGGTAACTCTAGAAGAGCTGCAAAGATTCGCTTCTCAGATTGTCAATCTTTGGTGGAAAAGCTGTTTGGTGATAGAATTATACTCTGATAAAGTGGTTTTTACAGCGGACAGAGAAGCTGATCACTCTCAATCAAGCAGATGAGCAATCCTGAAAGAAGAAAAAAACAAAAACCTTTTAGGTTATTGCTAAACATATAAGACTTCATCAGAAGTTCTCCTTCCATGAGAGTAGCAACTTTATATTTACAGCCAGAGGAATATTATTTTAGATCGGTAATGTCCAAAAGCAGCCCTCAAGAGCCAGTGTAGGCACCAGATCTGCACAGGGTTCTGCCCCTGCTAATGCTTCCTAAAATTTGGCTCACATAGTCATCTGCAGGGCAATTATTTTGTAGTCTTAAAGAAGACTTAACGGCTTTGAGACCAATTTTCACACCTGTTCTGCATGCTTGACATCTCTTTTTGACATAAAGCAAAATGAAAACATAACTGGTTCAGAGGGAGAACAAAATGTCACTTCCAAATGAAAACATGTCCATAATAGCTCTGAAACAAAGTGTGTATGACACAGTGGGCTACAAAGGCATCCGGTTCCCAGACTGCTCCCATACAGGTGGCTTGCAGAAACATTCCCTGCAGTGCTACTGTACTTACCTGACTCATCAGCTGCTCGCTGGAGCAAACGCCAGCTCCTCCCTGTCGGCTCATATCTTAATGTGTCAGTTCGATGTGAACTAGGAGGAGATGACAGCACAGGGAAACATTAACTATTTTTGCTGTAGAGATCCATAGAGAGTAAATAAGATGGGATGGGCGACAAATTAGAAGCTGTCAATCACATTGGCTGTTGATGCAGTCTTAAAGCAGGGTATTTGCAAGTTTCGTCAGGTTTTGTCCTCTAAGTGTAGTTTTCCATACAGATGTTTAGAGGCCGTGGGTTGACAGGATTACATTCTTTACCTTGTTAAACTATGCCTGGGTGATGGTGCTGAACTGCTCACCAAAGTTCCTGGAGCAACTCAGCTTCCTCCTGGCCTCAGTGCTGTGTCCTTACTTGTTTATCTGAAATCAGAAGTGCTCCAAGTTGTAGCTGCGGCCTCTTAAATTACTAATGCAAATTTAGGTTTTGTTTCTTAGTTTTACAGTTTTTGTGTTGCTGTTTTGTCTGTTTAATTCTCGAAGATTGACTTTCCGAATTCTTGTGTTAGAAACCAAAGCAGCTTGGCCTCAGTTAGAGCTTTAAGATTAGGTTACCCTTCAGGTTGTTGTCTAGCGATTGTTCTCTGGTCTTTCATTACAGGTTAGAGTTTCCCTGTGGGCTATTGTTATGGTACGGCTGGGTCGGTAGATGAACGGGGACAAATGTCAGATCAAAATCATCTCTGAGATTAGGATGACCCATCTCTTTCAGTGCCAGTCAAGGGTGACTCAGTTCATTTGGGGAAGTTTTAACTAAAATGCAGTCCATAGCATTTCCTTCCCTGGTATTTTACTATTACATCTCAGTTTTAGGAAATTATTAATATCAAATTGAGCTTTTGTGTTTAGTTTCTCCATTTTGAAGTTGTGCGAAAAGCTTCTATAGCTTTGAGCCCATCTGTAATGAGTTACACCCCTATCTCAAGCAGTTGGCTTTCTATCTATGCGCTCTCTCTCTGACCTGCCCTCCCTCCACCCATTCCATTACTTCTCCATTTTACCACTCAGTTATTAAAGTAGGTCTTATTAAAAGGCAGGAGAAGAAGCTAATCTATATTTGCATTCAGTCTATAGCAATTCATTAATATTATGACATTTACAGGCAGCTTGGCAGGGCCCCGGCTGCCGGCTACCCTTTTCCCTCTCTGAAATGTTAATTTAAAAAGTTCTGTCTTTGTAATGGAATAAGAAATCCTCTCTTGCCCTATCAATTCTGGGCGCCTGGCGAGGCATACTAATCATCTGTGCTTCCAATTGAGATAGCATGTCATTTTGATGGAATAAGAAAATGCAGAATTGGTTTTAAAGTCCTTAATGCCATGATTTGTGTGTATTTTTCTTTTTTTTTTTTTCATATCCGGAGAGGAGTGTACCATTTTCATTTGTAGTGAAAATATATGTGCATATTTGTGAACTGCATATTTCTTCTTTATTATTATTCCAAGCTGCAAATTTTGATGAGATGATTACATTTCAAAAGAAATAAACTGTAGGGTTAAACAGAACTTGATTCGCTGGAGCTTCCTTATTTTCCAGACTTCTCACCATGTGTACGAGGCACTTTGGCAGCGTGGTAACACAGACTATACGGACATACAAGACAGACCAGTTCCCCCTGCTCCTTATAGTTATGGGCAAGCGAACATCCAATGAAGTTCTAAATGTTATTCAAGGTAAAGGTTTAATCATTATTGCAAAACATATATTTATGTCTGCATTAGGTTTTGAAATGATCTTATGAAGTTTTTATTTGTCTCTTCAGGCAATACAACAGTGGATGAGCTGATGATGAGATTAATGGGAGCGATGGAGATTTTTACAGCACAACAGCAAGAAGACATCAAAGATGAGGTAGGGTTGGACCCTAGTAAGAAAACATTGTTTTTAATAAATTCTGATGTGTTTATTGTACAAGATACTACATTCGGGGTAATACTGTGCAATGTGTGTTGAAATTTCAAGCCTTTTTTTTCTGACCACCATATTAACAATAAAGCGTTATTCCAAGTAATTTTTTTAACAATGCTTTCACTTCATGAGATGTTCGTATAGTCATTTGTTTTACTTTTTAAACATAATAGTTGGTTGGGAAAATATCCTAACATTCTTTAACTTCACATCTAACAGGTTATGATTTTTTTGTTCTTTATTGTGACCATTGTGTCTGGTACTTACAGGATTCCTGCATTGCCTTGTGAAAGTATTCCTGAATTTTTTATTTTTTTGTATCTTGCCACAATATTTCTAATAATCTCAATGTATGTTGTATAATTTTAAGCAATGCCATAATCGAAGTGATCCTAAAGTGGACGTAATAATATGTTTTCCGAAGTCAGTTTGAAATACATATCTATAAAGTGTGGCATCCCCATTTTTGAAGTTTAACCTGAGTATAAATGTAGCTTTGATTTGTTGAAGAAAAATATGGAACAGACAGCATCAGAATATGTGTCAAAGTTTTAAACAGAAAATCTCCCTTATAGTGGCAGCATAGCAAAATTGCAAATGTAACAGGGCATGGCAACTATAACGACAGGATGGACGATTAGAGCAATAATCAGGGAGAAGCCAAGTGGCCCATGGTGGCTGTAAGGTTCTGGCTTGAGCAGAAAAGTGATAAGAATAGACATTCACATGATATATAGCTAGCATTAGCCATTTTGGAGACAGCAATGGTAGAAGAAGGTTCTCTAGTCAGATAAATGTAAATTGGCCACCTTGTCCTACACATCACCCCAAAAGACCAACGTAACAGTTAAACAGTTAACGGCAATCAATGGCGCTTCTTTTTCAACATAGCTTAAGGGTGGATAGAGAATGTAAGGTTTAAAGCTGTGGTTCCTCAGGTACCCCCTTCCTGGATCTTTTACGTTTCTCCTTGTTGCCTCACACCAAAAACAAATGGATAATTAACAGGCTTTTGCAGCATTTGATTGCAGAAGAGGGGCCCTCATTTGAATCAGGTGTGCTGTAACAGAAACATATCTAAAACATTCAGGGCAGGGGTCCCTGAGGACCAGGGTTGGGAACCGCTGGTCTAAAATAATGTCTTAGAAGGGCCTAGTAAGAGTCAAAAACTAAGGCTGGTTGAGAGTTTGAAGCATAACTTTCAAACCTTTGGTCACATATTGTCTCCACCTAGTCTGACTTGGTTTTAGTAATTTCTGAAGAGGCATATGCTGAAAAAATTACCATTGTAAATGCAGTGGAAGGTAATTCTAGTACTTACACTTGAGTCGATTACCAAATTCACACGATGATACACCCTTTATCTGGCATGCACAATGAATATACAGATTCGCCATCATAATGTGATAAAATATTCAGTTGTTAAAGGAACAAACATTTTTTCAGGGCTCTCTGCTTTAGTTCCTCTTCATCCTACTTTATAAATCATGATCCCGTACTTATATTGTTCCTCTCTCAAGCTGTCTTGCTCTTTTTATCCAGTTCTTACACTGGGCCAATAAATTACTTTTATTTATAATTTGATGCAATTTAAACAAAGTGAAGTGAATTTGATTAAGAAGTTTTGGTAGAAGATTTTATGCTAGAGTTAGATTTTCTATGTAAGACGCTTGTTATTAATTATGGTAAGTTTTAGTTTTGGTTCTCTATTGCATGCCTTACTAACACAGGTTTCTGTCCAGCTTTCAAACTCTTCAAAATGTTTTATTAAATAACTGTAGCTACAGATGACAGGCTGTCACTCTGGATTAGCTTTAAACTGGTAAAGACTCAACAAACCAACCAAACTAGCTCCCTTACAATACAGTCACAAGCTTCATAGCATCTCTGTTGTATCAGTAATAAACACCTAATGAGTCACACACACCTGAGGGTTAAACTCGTTCCAAGTCAGTTCCAGGGTAATGAGCAGCAGCTTCTATATTAATATTTAAACAGTTTTCTGGCTTCTTTTGGATTTGTCACTGTTGGTGATAGACAGCCATTAGTATCAACTTACAGAAAAAAGAATGTATATGTAATGTTCAGTATGCTAAGACTGGTTTCCTTTTAGGGTTTTTTTTATTGTTGCAAAAGGGATACCAGTTAATAACAGTTTCATAGACATGAGCATATTTTTGTACAATATCCGCTGCCTTTTTGGGTAAAATGCTCTGAAAACAAAAAGTCTCCAAATGTTAAATATTGTTCAAACACAAGCTGCTGCACAAGAGATGTGCAGCAAGTAAACACTCTAAAACCTGCATAAAATCAAGACCTAACATTTCACAGAATGGTTATGAATAAAATCCCAGCACGTAGCCGGTAGTATGTACACATTTTAGTTTTAACTGAAGAGCTGTTGACATTTTATTAAATATGGGAGATATTTCTATTTGTCATAAGCCTGCAGTCTTTTCTTCCTTTAACATGTTCTTCTTTTTATGTATTCCCTTTTTTCATTATATTAAACCCAAAGTAATTTTGATGGTGTTTGTTACCCTAAGAAAGATTATTATAGTGAGAAAAATTTGAGAGCAAAGGTCCTCTGAAAATATGCAGCATTTCTTTAAACATGTGCAATAATTTTATTTCTGCAATGTTGTCTTGAATGAGAGCGACGTAGTCTGCATCCTCCAAGTGAGCTGGTCTTAAACTTCTCTTATGTCATCCTTGCAGAAGAATGTTCTCGTCAAGTTAGTTGTTTGATTTGTTTTCTTTCTTATCTTCTTTTTCTTGTTTCAACCTCAGTTATCAGACGGAGACTCAGTCCTGACACGCCTCTTTTACTCCATCTTTGGTTTCTGTCTGGAGCTGAAGCAGCTGTACTTTGACAGTAGACAGCCATATTGACACTACAGTCATTCCTGAGGTTGTCTGCATTGCAGTTTAGTCTCTACTAGCCAAGTGACTACTACATCCAGGCTTTGTGATCTGCATCCGTCAGCAATGATTTTTACAGATCGTTCTAAGGTCATGTTGTGATACACATCCTACAAATGTGTGAGAAGTGTCTGATAGCAGAGTTTAATGGGACCTTTATGAGTGAGTCCTTCTAGCTGCTGTTTATAAGGGATGACCCTTTGAACTGCTCAGAAAACAACTTTGTACTTTGGAGGTATTTTGTAGACAAGCTTATTCTAACATTGTGTCATGCAAACCAAACAAGAACCAACATCCAGTAAAGAGTCTAGATTTACTCTCTTTAATAAGCAATGCCACAGAAATGACATCAGCAGTGAAATATGACGATGAAAACTAAAACTAAAACATCTGAACACGAAAACTTGTAGTACTATGTAATGTAATTAAAACATGGATGAATGACAATAAGCTATATATAGGTTTTAAAATTCCATTACACCTTAAGGTATTCACATCCTCTCAGTGTTTACCTCGTCTAGGTTTGTATACAGGTGTGAATACATTTCTCTGTACAGTTTGTAAAGATGTGTAAAAAGCCTTCAAATAAATCCATCTTATATTAAGGTGGGATAACGTCATATTAAAAAAATATATAAATTGAAACTTATATTTGAGGATATCTGCTGCGTCAAGGAAGTCATAAAGTGCTAAATAGAATTTGTGGAAATTTGAATCGACTTTGAAAATTAAAAATATAAATTAAAAAGTTGTGTCTGTTTAATTTAGCTAAAAAGATTTTTAGAAAAAAACAACATTTATGGCACTGGAAAGAAAAAATAAAATAAAAAAAATCTTCACCTCACTAGGTGAATAATATCTTATTAAAGGTTGGAAATAAATGTAGATTCTGTTAAGGTTGCATCTTGAAACATATGTGTCTTGAGAGGATAAAGGTGAACATTAAGGGTTATTATGTCAACAGTGAAATTTCCTGACACAATCTATACATGGAGCAGCTTCTCATGCTTCAGTCCAAATCTTCTGAAAAGACTGCCATGGAGGAAACGTGAACAAAAGCAATCTCTATGAAAATATTTGGTGATATTGTTTGCTATTGTGGATGATTGAGCGGGATGTTTTAAGGCAAACATGATGGGAAAGTTGCTGAAAGGTCATAAAATGGAAATTTTGGTACAGTTGAATGAAATTATATACTGAAAGAATTGGTGTTCATCATATCAGTCGCTGGGGATATAATTTCTAAATTGTTCATTCACAAAAATGTTTGATAAACTGAGAAATTTGGAAAAAAAAATTTAAATTATGAAATAGTTACCATATATTGTGTAAAAGATGGACCAAATTTATATGTATTAAATACAGAAAACTTGAACATATGAAGGAAAATAATATTCTATTCTTTATCTGTCACCAGTTATGCTAGAGTGGGTTTACACGCCTAAAAGTTTAGGTGTGGGGACAGGATAAAATCTTTTATCAGCTCTGCACCTAAACTAAAAAGTTTTGTTTGCTTTTTATCAATTTAGAAAGTAAATAATAATTACTGAAGGGGAAACATTTATGAAGGTCTCAATTGATATTCTGTAACTGAATCATCTTGATTTATTGTTGTGTATTTTCTAGATCAGTCATGTACTTTGTTGTTCTAATTTCTGTGGTTTAAAAAAAAAGACATTAATTTGATCACATTCTTTAAAATCAATACACATCCCCACAGTAATGAATATTTATCATTAACCACGTTCTTTTCTGGTCAAAAGAACAAAATGTCACAATAAGAAAAGAGAAGCATAATAAAAGGCCTTACATTGTTTCCCACCAAATAAATACAATATCTCCAGATCGGAGTGTCATATGTAGACTTTAAACACTATGCAAAGCATTGTATTTTTTTTTTTTCCATTTACATTTTCTCCAGCATCCAAACTTTTTTTGGAAGCAGCTTAATCCCTGAGCTGCTTAGTCCCAAAATTGAAGAGAAAATTAAGAAGAGCCTTTTAAATTTCTTATTTGTTTTCAGTGTGACAGCTTGATTTTTTTTCCGCTCTCTAAATACCAAGTGTATCATCAAGACTAAAAGATGCCACATGCCGTGCCAACTTGAACAGTAGCCACGCTTTAATTGTGGAAAATCTGTTTCTTTTTTTTTCCTTCTAAGTTGAAGCTTTCAGAGTCAGTGTTTGTGCCGATACACGTTAGAAGAACAGCTTTTACTGCTTCTCATTTGTTAAAGGTTTAAAAAATGATTTAACCAGCACTAAAGTGACTATCATACATCGGACTCTGTGACCTGTTTGCGTGACTCAGGGTCAGTCTATTGATAGCAGGCACTTTTGAAGCTTTTGTCTCTCCCTGCCATTCTTTTACAGTTTCCTTTCACTATTCCTCTATTATCTCCAACCAAAGCACATATGTATCTTTGCATTTTCTGATTCAATGCGACAATAGACGCTGCCATTTTGCTTAGCTGCCTATCTGCACAGTAGTCCTCTGATTGTCACAATGGGCGTACTTTGCCATATCCGGGTCGGCACACAGCATGGGCCTTCAGAAAACAGAAAACGAATGGCTGTGCAGTGTTAACACAATAGGACACTCTTATTTAGACTGAGTCTTTATGAAACACTTTGTAGCCACAGCAGGTAGAAAGAGAAAGGCCTCCTGTCCCCTTCCCTCTGTACAAACAGGAAGAGAGGGGCAGAATGAATGAAGGAGAAAGGGAGGGTGAAGCTGAAAATGGGAAACATAAAAGAGGTTTGGGGTCTGGTAAATGACAATCCGGTCACAATGAAATCCCTTCTACTGCTACTCTTTCATACCTGTTTGTACGTAACCACACTTGACATTATGCATTTTCTTCCTGGCTTCCACAACCGGCACTTCAGCTTAGATGTTTTGTTCTCGTTGTGTCCTTTATGATGTTGTTAAACAAGCCCAACTCTCTATCTCCCTCCACCCAGGACGAACGCGAGGCCAGGGAGACGGTGAAGCGAGAACAGGATGAAGCCTATCGCCTGTCTTTAGAGGCTGACAGGAAGAAGGTACGTCCAGAACAGAATATTTCTCTTTGCCTTTCTGATGTTGAGAACTGAATCAGTTGCAGGATCATATGCAATGGCTAGCAGTTTTTTTTTTTTTTGTTTTTTTTTTACCTTTACCACATTTTTTCTTGTTACAATTACAAATAGCAGTGTTTTTTATTAGTTAGTAAATGTTTTTAATGTATTATTTTGATTTAATGTCATATTCCAATATGAAATAGCTCTTAAAATATATATTTTTGTTTTATTTTTAATATTCAAAAAATAGAAAAGGTGTTTTAAGTCTTTTGGGGTTTTCTATCATTTTTGAAGGTCCTGAGACAGAGATAGTTCTGATTTAATTGATTTTACATCACCTGAATGTAAGACTAATGACAAAAACTGAGAACCAGATTTTCTAACAGCCTCTTCCAGGATTGTTCAGCCCAGAGCTTCACCAATTTTGCCTTTAACTGACTGTCCCTGCTTAGGAAAGCATTGGCACAGCATGATGCTGCCACCATCCTGCTTCAGTGGGGCGAGAGTGCTTTCATAATAATGTGCAGTGGTGGTTTCTCCAACAGATTATTTTCCATGTTGCACAAAGAAAGTAGCATTTTTGTCCCATCTGACGTCAGCATGTTCTTCCAAATGTCATTATCTTTCATGGTTTAGGGCAAATGCAAGACAACTTATTACTTTCATGAGTTTCCACTTTTAATGGGGGGTACAGAAGGGAATCTGAAGATATGCATACCACACTTTTCACATTTATATTTGTTCAAATCTTTAATAAGTGTAATTTCCCACACCTTTGCCACAAATCCCTGTGTCTATTCTATCAAGTATGACACTATTGCTAAAGTAAAAATAAATCTGTGGTACAAATATTTCTACAGAGCACTGCATGACTTGAAGTGTAATTCGATTTGTGTATCTTGGATTATGCACCCTGTGCATATCAAAAGAGACCATGCTTAATTTATGAAGTCAAAGTGACGGAGTCTTTGAAACATGTGGCAGGCAGCATAGTAGCCTTTTGGGTTTTGTTTACACATTAAATGTATTTTTTCCTACTCAGAGAGAAGCCCAGGAAAGAGAAGAAGCTGAGCAGGTCCGCCTGGAGCAGATGAGAAAGGAGCAGGAGGAGGAGAAGGAGGTGGGAACCCACTACCGCAATCTTGCCTTATTTCTACATGCTCTTGAACATTTGCTCTCACCAGTTCATTAGATTGTGGGTTTTGGAGAACTCTGCCATTCAGAGAACCCTGACAAATGAAGGAAATCTCCCCATTAAATCCAGTGCTTCTTAACGTCACCTTCCATAAACACTATCATTGTTCTGTAGTGAAGCTTTCTAAGGGCAACACACACACACCAACACATTCAAACCTAACAGGACAAAAGACGGCAGCAGGTCGAGGAGAATGCTTGATGGACAAACACACGCACAACCTAAGCAAACACATATTCACTTGAAAACAATTATTGTCTGTGAAATAGGGGAAAATACACACAGGCAAACACAATGCCTCGTATACAGAAAATAATAATTGTCGGTATTGATGGCGCTAATGTTGTACAGTCCAGATTAATACAGTGTAGTCCTCAGCCATTGTTGTTTACTTAAGAGCAGGAATCGCAATGTGGGCAGAGGTATTGGGTGACCTGGCTCATTCAGATGATTTGTCGCTTTAGTTAAATAAATGATAACAAAAGAGCTCAGGACATTGCCTTCTTAATTATATCACTCTGGTGTGCCAACAAGACACAATAAGGTATAATACACAATAACCCAAATGGTACACCTACCTTTCTTCATATACTCCTGCCTAAATTAATTTTCTGTTCAGGTTCAATGGTATTTATTGGCGCTCTTAAGCTAACAGGATATTCATTTAATGAAAAGGAGCCCTGGCTTTTTTCCTTATCTGACCATCAAACAAAATATTTGTTGAAATTTCTTTTTTTTATTTGAAAATAAATCACTAGTTTTATCAACTTGTTAGTGTAAATCTTCCTTTACCCAACAAGAGTTTTTCCCTGTACCTGCTTACTTAAAAAACAGCATTAAATCTAGGGCTGAAACGATCGTATTAATCATGATTAATCGACTATTCAAATAATTGTCAACTAATTTAGCAATCGATTATTCGTTGGAGTATAGAGACTGTAAAACATACCTTTAGCTGACAAAGCAACCCACTTAGAACAGTCATTATACTGTAATCGTAAAAAATATATAAATATTTAGCTTTTAATAAAAATAAAAAAAAACTTTTTGGCTGTCAATATACTCTATCCAGAACTCTATCCAGGACCCAGTTTTATTTTCACCTGTTTTAATTTCGTAAAAAAAATCTTCTTTAAGAAACATTTTGCTACGCGATTATTAATCGATTATTGATAAAATAATCGTTAGATTAATCGATTTGCAAAATAATTGTTGTTGCAGCCCTAAATGAATCACAATTACAGAGACATATAAATATTGACCAGAGACTTTATAGAGGCACTGACTGTAAAACTTGACAGAACTTCAGTCAGGAAGACTGCATTTGCCTTTACTGTGAGCATTCATTATTTATATCATTAGCAGGCGCAACATCGCATTGTGTGTTTTACTATAACGGCTAACGATTTTGCAGCTTTAATGTCTTTAATATTTTGCATTTTTTCATGGTGTGTTAAACTCATCTGCATTAGGTTTTATTGAAATAAATACTGTCACACCTATGTATACTAAAACCAAAAAAATAATGTTATATTTTTTGATAAAGATACATTTGATATAAATAAATACAAAGGTATTCCAACTTTTTTAAAAACATTTTTTTCTTAAAAGGTTCACTCCTATTTTCCTGAGGATCCCATATATCGTCTTTTATTGTTATTAATCATCTGGTCTTTTTTTAGTTTAGATTTTATTTTAATCTTATGAGGCCTTGTTCTTGCACACTGTAGGTCGAGGAAGTGCAGACACAACAAAAAGCTAAGCTGCCACCAGAGAGAGGGCAAAGCTAGAGGGAATGCCTTCCCTGTGATTTTGTGCCTTTGTGCAAAGAAAAGGGAGATGAAAGTTAGAGCCTCTGAATTGGGGGTGTGGTTGTATGTGAGCTGACATTATTATTTACCTCCTTCATGGGGTCTTAGCATACAGTTGTGTGGCTGTCAGGTGCTTCTCCTCCCCCACTTCGCATCATGTGTTTGCTCTCTGCGGTTAGCCGTGCCGAGCTGCTGACGCAGGTGAATAGACAGAGATGCTCCTGATTATTTGTGCTGAGCTTCCTGGGCCTGAGGCTCGACCAGACGCGTGTACCATTGTTTTTTGTGGGACGCTGTCTCACCTGAGTGGTAGCTGTGCCCCTGTGTGGTGTTCATTCACCGCATTTTTATTTTAAAAATGCACACTTCTGTCTGTTATATGTGTGTGTGTATGACTGTCCCAAAGGGCCCCTTTAACTCAGTCAGCATCAGCTCGTATACCTGGGGGAGCTGATGGTGGAGCGGCACGCGCCCTACCCTGCCCACCCAACACCAGAAGCTGCTAATGAGCTACTGTTGTACACTCTTATGAAATATAATTGCATTATGGTGTGTAAATAAAGCCAGGGCGTGTTGTCACAGCATATGCTCCCCGGCTGGCCAAACAGGAACAACAAGCGGGAGGCGGGAGAAGAGGAGGTGAGGGGTGAGGAACAGAAAGAAGTGGGACGCTCGGGGGAGCAGCTGAAGCACGTTTTTCTGGAACTCAGGGGAATTGATTAGCTTTGCTGTGAGAGATGACAGTTGATGTTTGTCTTTGGTCTTGATCATTCAAACGTAGTCCAATGTCAAACACATTTTGCCACATTTACTGGCTGAGAAAAAAAATCTGCTTTGTCAAACAAGGCATAGATCAATGTTTCATAGAGAGATGCTTTCCACTATTTAGCTCCGTTTAGTGGAGGGAGAAGTCAGACGGTGAAGAAAATCCACACTTGGTGCTTTTTACTATATTTGTATGAAACTTGGCAACCTTATGAGCTGCTCAAGACTTTAGGGAACAGGGTGAGAAACAGGGCAGCTAATTTAATAATAATGACCTTAAGAAAACCCCGCTGCTTAATTAAAGCTACAGACTTTGGATTGTATTTCACAGTTTTGATTGTACTCAATTGGGAACGCCATTATGAAATGAATAGTTTGTCTTAACATTTTGATAATCTCAGTAAAATTGACGATACTTATTATTCCAGATGTTATTCTTGCCAGTTTCCGGTCAGCTAAGGCAACAACAGGTTGGGTCTGGTTGCCTTGAAGTGTCAGATGTAGATTTTCTCTACATCTGGGGGAGAATCAGAGATTCTCACAGTTTTAAAATTGGCTTTACTAAATTAAAGGCTGTCAGGCCATATTGGTTCAGACAGCTCACTGCAGAGCTCACTGTCTCTATAGAGACAGAGGAGAAAGATCATTACAGACAGGGGAAACCATGAAAATCCCAACAGCCTTAACAGACAAAATGTAAACAAGATAAGTACAAATGTGGCTTTTTTTATACAGGCAAAATAACAAGAATATCAAAATACATAAAAAACCAAGTTTAAAGTCATAGTTCAAAGCCCTTTTTAGCGATGGGGCAACAGTGCTGAATGATGCAGGAGTTTATCTCTGGTTTGAAGACCAGCTCCATCAATTAATTTAGTTCTTGGGTAAGACTCTTTAGCCACCTTCCCTACAGATGGTGGTCAGGTTCATCGATGGCGCTGGTGTATGGTAGCCTTGCTTCTGTCAGTGTGCCCCAGAGCAGCTGTGGCTAAAATCAAGGTTCCCACCATCGGTGTGTGAATACATGAAGGTATAACTGACTTTGGTGTCTTTGAACTGGATAAAATGGTAACGAGTACTGGTCATTTACTATAAAACTATAACTGTCAACAGTCGGTTTCATCAACATAAACTTTGCTTTAGAAATAAACTGTATCCATTATCAAAAAGGGTACCTCACTACACAAATCACACCCAGCAGTGCTACTTTCTATCTATGTGTTGTGTAATAATCACCTTTAATCAAATAATGAAATGTATGGATACATCTATTGATATTATGGTCCAAAGGTTAACAGCTTTAACAGTAAACTAGGAATCCCAGACTACTAACAGTTTGTAAGTTTGCAACTGTTGTCTATTTAAATTAATCAGTATTATCATGAAATGACTAAATATTACCAATTTGGTTTATTTTTCGACAGGTATGTGATATTATTGACTAATACTTAAGGTTAATTTGAAAACATTTTTTATAACCTTAAGTTTTTTATATTATGTCTTTCTTTGCATTACTAAAATGAAATGCTCCATACATATTTTATATGGACTCTACTTGTCCCTCTTAGGCTTGAGCTTGATGAAAGTAGAGTGAATGGTGAATTATGTAAAGCGGTGGTTAGTTTGTGATATGAAGGCATACACTATGCCAAGTAATTAATTTACATGCCAAATGATGAAATCTGAAAAAAAAAAAAACAAAGATTCATAAATAAAATAAAAAAAAATATTATATATATATATATATATCATGCCAAATGATGAAATCTGAAAAAAAAAAGAAAGAAAATTTCTGTCAAACTGTTAAAATAATTCTCACAATAAATGTGAGTAGCTTGTTTAAAAGGGGAGGTTATAGCTTGCCTCAAGGCAGCTAAATCTAACCAGCACCTGTATGCAAACATGTCTGCTTTCCATGATCACTATCTCTAAAACCATCAAATACTCTTATAATAACCCACTGGATTTCTGTTTGAATGTTTTTTTGTTTCTAGGCTATTCGTTTGTCATTGGAGCAGGCTTTACCGGCTGAACCAGACGAGGAGTCCGGAGAACAAATCAGCAAACTGAGAATCCGCACACCGAGTGGCGAGTTTCTGGAAAGGCGTTTCCTGGGCAGCTGTAAGCTCCAGGTCCTCTTTGACTTTGTGGCCTCCAAAGGATTCCCCTTTGAAGAATTTAAGATCCTCACCACCTTCCCTCGTAGAAATGTGAGCATTCAGCATATTTTCTTAATGCAAAATATATTCTCACTTTGTTATATATTTATGACTTCAGATATTCATTCTCTCCAACATTCAACTAAACTACTATGTACACAAGGGAGAAAAGACTCCTGTAGTTATATACTGTCTCATTTAGGAAGCATAGAACTACAAGGATGTGAGTTTAGGGACTCTCTAGTGAGTCTTTTTCACCAAACCTCAGTGTTAATATAAAACATCATTACTGTTTACTTTACACAAATGTACACAGTGAAAATGGAAGAAGTTTTTGATTGGTACAAACATCTTTGATTGGTTGCTGCCTTATTTCTGCAGGTTTTTTTGAATTTTAGTTCTAAGGCTAGCTGATGGTATGGCATGCTAAATCACTACTCCCTAAATGCTTAAGACCCGAAACAAAAAGGTTTTTTTGTGATCGCAAAGCTTTTTTTTTCTTTTTTTACAAATGTTGAAGTGGTTTAATGTTCTTCTATGTAGTCTTTTAAAATAGCTCTGCACAGCAGGGTTAAGTTATAACTATCATCTCCTATAGCCATACCATCTGTTGGGTCTAATTGGCTCTTAGCTCAGGTACAGGCTCCAGTTGGACAATAGAAGGCATAATAGTAAAGATAGTCTGTTCTTATTTTATAATATTTTATAATTTTACCCTTTTTTTCCTACCTGCCTTAATTTTAGTCCTGCTGTGTTTGTATTGCTGCACTACTGCTGCATTGGTGCCTTTGTTTACGTGTCGCTGGGTTATTAAAATGTTAAATTTGTCCTTGCGTCCTCCTGTGTGCATGTATTATTTAGTAAATATTAATTATTATCGGTCCTCTGTCCCTGCAGTACAATTTGACTTTGTTAGGATACAGTTGTCAGCGCTAACAGTAGTATTCTCTTTGGCTCTTGTGTTGATGCCTGGCAGCAATCAGCTACCTTCAACCAGTCATTAGAGGACTTGGTCGCCACGCTCCGTGGTAACGAGCTAATGAGCGCCGTTTTAACAACCAGTTTAATTAACCATGCTGCTAGATTTCCATTAATCAGAACAGGAGTGCATGTGGCGGGTTGGTAGTGGTTGCAAGGAGGTGTGTGTGTGTAGACTTGCCCAGACAGAGCATGTTGCTGTCTGCAGAGACAGTCAGGGCACAAACACCTAACACACACATTAACGCTTAGCTCACACTCTCGTTTCGTCGCACAATTCAACACATGCACAAATATTTTCAAGCAAACACATGCCCCGCTCACAACTTTGTCACTTAAAGGATTCACAGTTGTCTCTTTATAATCAAGAGTAAACATGTGTTTGAGACAGAGATAAAGATGTGCCTGCGTCGCAGATGAAATTCCAGCAAAAACAGGATGGCAGGATTAGAGGAGAACGGGAGAGGGGGGAGAGAGGAGTCTGAGGAGGATGGTGATTGCAGAGCTGGTTAGGGAGGAGAACAGAGAGGACAAACGCTTGAACAAAGAAAAGATTTAATCAGAGAAACAGTCTGAAAGACAAAAGGATAAAGAAGACAAGTGGGGACGATATTAAAAAGTAGAAAATGGGAGATAATTCCAGGAAACCAAAAGGCGAGCAGCCGAGTGTTGGTGCCAGTGTGAGGCTGCGAACACAGGCCCCCATCTAATCCAGCAGCTCTGTGTTGTAATTAAATGAGAGGGAGCATAGAAAGCTCCCATCCTATCCAGACGCTCTCACTGTTGCTCTGCCAGGCTCAGAGGATAGAGGATAGAGCACTATTGCATTTGTAGGACTCCACAACTGTTGAAACCTTCTCTTCGTTTACCGTCTGCAGTGTCACTGCTTGTGTTGTTTTCTTTGGTTCCTTCATCTTAGCTCACTTCACTTTACAGAATCCAAATTTAGAAATTATATTGGAGCTGATTATGGTGTTGTTTAATAGCTTAAAAATCTATAATTTTTATTGCGTATATATCTGTTTACAGATGTAATTACATTTATTTCAGCTGAAATTTAATGGCTTGAATATTTAAGTATGTCCGGTTCGTGGCTCGGCTATCTTCTTCCTTGTTTGCGAGTAAGTGTCTTTTATTCTCCAAATTTTGGACTCGGTGTCTCCCTCAGCATTTGGTATCAGAGGCTTATCTCTTCAGCACTACAGCAGGCCTTACACTGGCATCATTTGTACCAGGCTTAGCCGTGCTCAGGGAACTAACCCTTCCTCCGTTTCTATGACTGTCAGCGGGTTTGACGAAGAAGTGGAGGAGGGGGGGTTTCTCAGTGTTTCAGTTTTCAGCTTTTCATTCAAAAATTTCCCCTTCTTTTCTTTGATATTTCTCTTCGAGAAAAAGGTCGTCTTCCTTCAGCATGTGGCAAAGATGTTTAGGCTGCCATTAAAACGATTTGCAGCAAGCGCTTCCTGTGCAGCCGCTCTCAGAAACCCAAACATTGTCAAACAAATGTATTGGTTTTCTCAACATGATACTGTAATGCATGTCACCTCCTCCTAATGCCTCGGCTAGCGCAGGGTTCCTGTAAAACCTGAGATGCAGGAAAAATAAACAGTGACAAAGAAAGAGCTGTGCTCTGCACTGAAATAGGTTTTACATCTGCTACATTACTGTGTTTTGTTTTTCTTGTTATCTAAAGGAGTCCTGGGACAACCTGTGGGAGGTTAACCAGCTATTGTTTTTAGATTAAATAAGGTTTAATAGGCTCTTTAGGCTTTTCTTACAGTTTCCCATCTAATATAAATACCGGCTTCATAACATGATTCGGTGTTTCTAATTCTGGACAGAATGTGTATGGGACAGCAGTCCTGATCTTAAGAACACCTTTCACTCAACGGTTCGTTTTGTTTATTGTTGCTTTGCAGAAAGATTTTTGGCGACTTTGTACACTGTTGCTTTTCTAAGATTAATCTGTGACAGGAGGAAGTTCATTCTGGATTTATAGCCTAGAGACAGTTTTTTATTTTTATTTTTTTAAATATTTATAGATTTTAGATTAAGATATACACCAATCAGTAAACTAAAAATTGGCCAAGCTTCCCTTAATCACCTCTAATAGGTGATTTATTGATAGGTTTCACAATTTATTAAAAGCAGAAAAAATCATAACTCCCTTAGCTATTGTTCTATAAAGCTTTGATTTCTTTTTGTTTTACACTTTGTTAAATTAATAAAGATCAGCCAAAGTGAATTTGATGGATAAAGCAAAATAATGTGTTAATTACCTTTATGTTCGATTCATAGCTGCTGCATTTTTTAAAGAAAGGGTCTTAATTGGTCAATATCAAAAGTACTTATTGGCGAATCTCGTGGATATTTTTTTAAGATTTTTTTTTTCATTACCAAATTATATAAATCAGTGGGCGTCTAAGAAGTCAATTTTGGGTCATGAAAGAAACCAAAGAAGCAGTCAGAGTGGGGGGGGAAAAAGCATAAAACATATTAAAAGATAAAGTCCTTGAACAGATGGCGTGGCTCTCAGTTTCTGATGGGAGAAATATGGCGGCCGTCTGTGGTTCTACGACATCCTAAATCCTAAAACGAGTGATTAGTGATCGCATAACATGCTTAATTTGATCAAATTGTTTTGTGGTTTTCATTTATATAATTTCAAATGTTACAATAAAAGGTAAACATTAGCTGAACCAGATGCTCCTCAACCCACGGCCATCAGCTTAATCATTAATAAGTCATTTTTCTTTCTTCTCTTGGGTTGTTAATATCCAGTTAAAAACAGTCAAAAACACAATTACTGATTTAAAAATAAATAATAATTATTAATATGCATCAAATAGCCTTCTTGCATTGTTTGCACTTGTAGGATTAAGCCACAAGACAGTGTAAAGCATTAACACCAAGCATTCGTATTTATAATCAAATTCTGTGGTTGGCAAATATTAGGATCACAGAGAGAGTTTATTGTTGTTACTGGATAAAATATATGATATACGGGTAAGGGACGTGATTTTTCTCCTGCTTCCCAACTCGATTATTCACTTATTTGTTCTTTTGTTCATTTAAAATATCTTTACTTATTTTTCAGAAATGTTTTGGTTTTTCTAGCGTTTAGTCTTTCCTCGTCGTTCTAAACCTTCCTTAGATTCTTAGTAACACTGTTTTTTCAAACCTTTATGATTATTATTTAAGTAAAAGCTGCCTTCTCTTCTCTCCTTTTTCTCTCTCCACAGTTTTTTCTTAATTTTCTTTTATCCTCACCTTTTTTTCTAAATTTTCTTTTAAATCTTTATCCTCCCCCCCCCGCCACCTTCTCCAAAGTCCAGTCCATATCCCTTTGAAGTGCCGTTCTCTTTTCTGTTCGTCTCTGTTCACGCCCCAGCACTACATGCTGTCAACGCTCCTGGCAGCAGATAATGATCTCCCACTGCTTTTGTAATTGGCCAAATAAACACTTGACAACACTAGTTTAAAACAGACAAGTTATTTGGTTTTAATTAACATAGCAAGGCCTGTAATGGCTTCATTAAAAATGCGTTATTTCAGCTGCACGTCTGATTGTGCTGGAAAGGGACATCTTGAAGGGCCCCATGTTTATTTTCCCTTTCTTCTCTTTCACAGCGGAGCGTTGCTCGGTGTCGCCTCCACTCTTACCGGCCTGCTTTATTCATTTCATTTTAGTGACGTAAAGTCATGCTGTTTAATTCAAACCTTACATTAATTGCTAATTATGTGGTTTTAACTGTGTTAAGACACCCTCTTCCTTAAACACAGATTTTATTTTATTCAAGGAAGAGACGAGAGAGAAAATTAAAGATTGCCGAAAAGCCTCCATCTGTTTTATTGTTTGGATCCAAATTTTAAGTGAGGCTTTGTAATGTAAGGTATCACATTTATCTCTCTTTTTATCTCTTTGAAATTAATCTCAAGTAGGAAGATGTAAATTTAGCTCTTTTTCTGTTGACTCATGGACGCTTTTCTCCTAGTTGATAATTAGCTCCAGATGTTATTTTTCTAAATGTGAGATAAAAACTCAGAGAGCAAATGTCCTTTTTTCAGCCATCGACCTAATTCCTCCTAATGATTTCACTTTCTGATTCAAAAATCATGTTGACTCAAGGTTATATGTTATGTCTGTGCCGTGTATGCATTTGTATGTATGTGTGTATTTATGAATGCATGCATGGCTGCATAGGCAGGAGAAGGGAGAATATGGCTTAGACAGAGCAGAGGAAAAACAACAGCTTTGTTTGTTGACAGATGCCTCCATGCTTATGGTCTGTTAATTGGATAACAATGTAAACAATCACCGATGGCGCCCGTCTCCTGTGTCAGTGTGGCATGTTGTTTCCCTGCTTCACTTTTCCAGAGTCAGATGCTGCTCTCTCTCCCTGGTGCACTCACAAGCAAAAACCCTTCCACCCGAATTTTACTCAAACACACACGCACACATTTGTACTGATCATGCACACACACACCTGCTCCACCACAAAGCCTCATTTACTCTTACCTGATGCTGTGGTGTCATAACAGCCTGTCAGGTTCATTAGCATGGCAGCCATTTGTGATGCACTGCTCCTGAGGTGGGAAAAGGATCGCAGCAGTCCTGTTTCCCCCCCCACCTTTGGGGATGGAATAAGTTTGTTGCACAGTTCATGCACACAGACTTCTCTGCACCCCACCCCACCACCCATGCTGCTCTGTGAAGCACTTGACTAGGTGATGGGTATAAGGGCGATGAGCTCCCCTGCGCCCTGCTGAGAAGTCAAGGGTCTAAGTGACACATTGAAATGAGGGAGAGATGAAAACACGATCCCAGCTTCCACTCCGAGTGACATTTTCGAACACCTGTGGGAGATGGAGGGTTTATCTCCCGCTGATATATCCTCCTCACCTTCCCCTATTTCACTTGCCCTCTTTTTCCTCTTTTCTCACCCTTTAACAGCCTCTGCTGGGGCAGCTTTGAAGGGCAAGCACAACTGATAGGAGCAGAACTAAAATAACATTGGATAAAACAAAACTGAGATGGTTTTTTTTTTCTCATTAGTCAATAAATTGGGGCGATTGAACATCTCTAAATTAGCTAAAATTTGGATAAACATCTACTTGGGTCATTTATATTTTGGGACTGATATTTTTACCGGTATCAGGATATATAAATGTTTTCTCTTACATTATTGTTTTAGTTGAGTCATTGAAAAGAAGGAAAAATCTTGACCACTTTAATCCATTGACTTTTTGGAATCATTATCTTGTAATTCTGGTTAATAATTTCAGGCAATATGAAGCTTCTATAAAACACAATTTGTGATGTTGGGGAACAACCAGTCTTGTTGGCAGAGAACCCCCCAAAAATATCCCCCCAAAACAGCTTATAGTTATAAAATCAAAACATTTGCATAGCATAAGTCATTTACAAAAAGTTTCTTTGTCAATGAAGAAATATATTTATATAACAATGATTGACTAAAAGCTATCAAGAGCAGCTGTACTCAAGCATGTATTTTCCTAATTGTTTAATATGGCTCATCTTAGGGTGGCAAAAACTTAAAACCGCAAAAATAAACCCTTAATGGGACAAAGTTCCATTTAATTTGCTTACATCTTTGTTAAATATATACAAGCTATTAGGTATGTTATTATCTTCAGCTGTTTCCTATGATTTACTGTAACAAATCTATTAATTATGGTATTGAAAAGAAAAAAATACAAATAAAATCAGGGTATGTCTTTTCTTTAAAAACCAGGTGTTTATTCTATATCATTTTAGTTAAATTTATCAAAATTAAGCGGGTGATAAATGTTAATTATCGGAGTCTGAAATGATTTAAACCCCTGGAGCTAATCACCAAAGTTAAATATAAAATACAAGCAAGGTTAAAAAGAAATTGCTGTAATTCTAGTGAAGATTTGAGATGGAAATAAATATCTTTGATACGTCACATTTTTTAAAATACATTCAGAGATTTATTTATAATATATTTTCAATTCTTGTTTATGCCTTTGACTCATATCTTTTGAATGAAGCTAATTTATTTACCTTTAAGAGATGAACTTTTTGATTTTGTGACGACCGTGTTTAAGGTGATAGCTACAAGTTGAACCTTTCCCGCCAATAAGTTACTTACTTGTCCTTGCCCTCTCTGGTACCTTTAACTGGTTTCCTGTCTGCTTCCTCAATTCGACAAAGAATTTTTTGGCGAATTTTGGCTTGAATGTAAGAAAGGTAGAAGACAAGACATTTCTCAGCACTATCACAGAGCTTCTAGGATCTGACGATGCTTGAGCTCTGAGCTCTTTAACCTACTGCTCTTATTGGTGCAGAATCCTTTCATGACTATTTCTGTATGGTAATGAGAAATAAATGTTTCTTTTAAACCATCGAAATATATAAATTAATTCTTTATATACTTTAATTGTCTTTAGCAAAATAAATACTTTTATTCTGCACCACTCTAGATGTTCTGTGGATGTAATATTTTTGAAAAATTAATAATTTTTGATGAGACAGTTTTAGCTGTAACCTTTAAATTTTAATTCATTTCTTTTTTCGCTGTTAAAACATAATTTTTACTGCAATCAATACATTGCCACATACGACCGATCAGCTAGCTAAAAATGTACTTTGCTTTAACCTCTCTAACAATAAAGGCCATTTAATCTATTTGAAAATATTATTTCTCATGAAAAATAATCTAAATCTGAGCTTCCCATGCCTGTTTCTCTACAGAGAACATTGTTACTCATATGAACCCATGTATTTTTAGATGAAATTCTTTACCCAAATCCCCCCCCCAAAAAAAATTGATTTGTAAATAATAATAAAAAAGAAAACAAAAATCTACTACTATCTATATCTGTGTAAACGGTCTATAGATGGTGAGTAGAAGCACAGTTGTGGCTCAGTTCATGGTCATGGTTCATATTTCAGTCCCTATGACTGTCTGTGTGCGAAGACTGGGACTTGACTTGTCGGGGCTGTGACCTTTACGGCGCTGGGCTTGCCCTCTGACCTTTCTACAGCAGGTACAGGGAACCGGCTAATTATCCGGCCGCAGGGTTAGGAAAGGATTCCTAATCAGAGGGGGCTGAGGCAGCAGTGATCAGATAAGCCCTGAACACATCTCTGTGTCACACCAGCTCGCCCGTTCAGCCCAGGTGTTAGATTGGCCCAATGTAACGCAAAACCTCCAGTGATTAACTCACATAAGCTAAGAGGCCCACAGGGGTGGTGGATGTCAGGGAGAGTCAGATTGTCCTGTTTTTTAAAACACAGCTCAGACCCCCCCCTTTATGTGAGTTAACTTGATCAGCTGCATTGTGGGTGGCACAGCGTTAGTCCTCTCCTTTTTAGACAATTGCTTTTATGGGGTGTTTTTTAGCACCATTAAATGTTTCTCTCCCTTACATCATCAGCGATGCTTCTCTCTGACCTTTTTCACTGCTTGAATTAGTTCTTATTAGCCATTTAAAAACACATTGGTTAATTCACTCTCTCACACTCACCTCTCTTGTTCTGTAATCTTCATCAGTTTGTTCTGGATCGAAGCCCTTTTAAGAAAACAAACCTAGTGATTCTCTCAGGGTAACTAGACTCTTGCTGCTCACATTTCTGCCTAATCTTTTTTTTTTTTTTTTGCAAACATTATGTTAGAATAATACACACACTTCACAAACACACACTTATAATAAACTACAGCTACACTGTTCTCCAGTATGAATCACAGGGGATGTCTGTCCAGACACTCAGAGGGATTCTAATGGCAGTGAGTTAGCTGGGACCCAGCTGACTTAATATGGACAAATCTGAGGCATTCACTGTTTTAGGCATGGTGGGGGAAAAGATTCAGGGCCTTTTAACATTCAGTTGTTTTAACTGCAAAATAATCATACTTTTTATATGATCGAATATTGTATAGAATATCTTTTAATAAAAACAGATACATCAAATCTTTTTTTTAAATGAAGTCAAAGCTGAGTCGGTTTGGATGGATGGATCACCACTATGCAAAACACTGATAAAGTCTTTAGACTGGTTTCTAACTGGATTTGGTTCTGGACTGCCTCGACTAAATTCCTCCTCTCATCAACTTTGTTGTCTTTGCGTGAGTGCTGATCAAAAGCATCTCAACAGTAATGTGCTGCCTCCACTCTTTCTTGATGCAGTTGGTGTGTTCAGGGGGATGCATAATTAGCTTTATGCTGCAAAAAGCATTTTGTGTGCAGATTAAAAAGTTTAACTTTAGTCTCATTGGACCAGAGCTGTTGTTTCTACATGTTTGCTGTTTCAAGGCTTGTGTTGAACCTTAACATCATCTGCAATGGTTTTCTTTGAACTATTATCCTCTTATCTGTCTTTCATAAACATTTGGGATGGTTATTGCCCTAGGCCATTACAAAGTTCACAATAACATTAAAATGTGTTTTCTATCCCAGAGCTACAGAGACCTAGGCACCATATAGTTCTTAAAGCTCTTTTTTGGGAGTTTTTGCTGCTTGCTATTGACACACATTCTGAGTTTCACAATGCATTTCTATTTCATTAATCTTCTTTAACAAACCTCTGATGTCAGAACAGCTAGATTTATAGAGATTAAATCACCTGCTGATTGACTCCAATGGTTAAGCTGTTGCACTAGATTTTATTTTGTCCTGTCAGAGTAAAAGGTGCTCAGTAGAAATGTACGATAAACTACATACGCTGAACTTTGTGATTATTGCATGATAAAATGTGTAAGGTTTCTGCTTTGCAGGGCAGGCTGGTTTGGACGGTTAGTTTTCAGAACAATCATATCAGCATATTAGGAAGGAAGCGTTTTCCTTTACACATGCTAAAAATATCCTAAACATTAAAATGATTTGCTTTCCTTCATTTAGAATGTAATATAGTTTGAATCTGTATTTCAAATGTACAAAATAATACAACAATTTTAGTTATTATGTGAAGTAATATTGGTTATTTTGACTGATATCAACCATTGGCTTGTATTAGGATTTTAATGCAAACACTCCAATGTTTTTCCCACCTTGTTTCTCTCCAGATCACCCAGTTGGATCCTGGGTCAACTCTGCTGGAGGCCAAGTTGTTTCCTCAGGAGACACTCTTCCTGGAGGCTAAAGAATAGGAAGTGACCTTCTGAATGCTGAGAACCTTCTCACTGACTGCAGAACTGGCCGGACGCACACTAGTCGCAGAGCGTGGCTCTTCCTCTACACAGTCTGGGGCATCCATACAAACACACATTAGCTTCCATTTCTCAGACAAGCATACACTGGCATGCACACCCACACACACAAACACACATGTTCAAATAAGCTTTTCTGCCCATGGCCTGTTTTGTGGTACATGCAAATCTGGTGTTGCACAGAGAAGAAAGGACTATATCACAAGCACACAGCCAAAATTTTCACCTTCCGAATCTTCTGTCCAATTTCCTCAATTGTTCACACAACTGACAACTTCACATCTCCAAACTGCTGTGTCATGGTTCTCTATCTTACAACACAAAAAAACAAAAGCAGTGTTGACAGACTGAATAGACAAATCTTTGTCACAGAAAAAAAAGAATAAATAAAAATTAAGGACTTATTCCTGTTTCCTCATTTGACACACCAAGGCCACTTTTTTAGGACATGGTTTTTGTGTTTGAAATGAAACTGAAATGTTAAAATTGTAATAAAAAGAATATGACAAATAGATGTTGCCCAGTGAAGGTTGGGATCTCACACGTCCGGCTGTATTTACCCCATTAACCTTTCTCTGAGTGTCTGCTTCCTCTGGTTTTAACATGCACTGCTCCACACATCAGGTTGATCCTTTTCCTTTTTAGTTTTCTTTTTTTTCCCTGACATTTTTTTTAGTTTGATGCTGTATTAGTTTTAGTTTGATATACGGTATATAAAACATATGAATACAAGCATTTGTTTGTCTTTCCCAGCAATCTGTTGAAAAATAACACACACATCCTTATTTGATTTTGTTATTTGTACATTAACTATTTCAGAACAACATTCTTATTTTTTTATAGTTTCTGAGTCATAGGCATACACATGTAAACTTATTTTGAATCATTCCATTTTCAGAAGAAAAATACCATCAAGAAGTCTTTATAGACTATTTGGATTCAAAAGTGAGATTGCTTGTGGATTTTATTTTTTACACATAACTTTTTAACAAGTTCAAATATATACATTCACATTTACTTGATAACATTTTAAACCAATCAACAAGGTCATGGCCTCATTCTGGTCGAACATTGAACTGCTCTGTTTGGAAAAATTGGCAAGAAGTAGAGTTTTGTTTTAATAGAGTTTGGGGACGTCTCAGGAGTTTGAGGCTAAAAACACCCAACACCCTTTTTAACCATCTAGTTGTTGATTTGCTTTACAGTTTTACAGTGTTCTCATATTAGAGTGGCTCATCTGATCTCTACAAACAAATATATTGTGACTAAATAGCCTTTATCTTGTTTGTACATAAAACCTTTTTCTATAGTGCAAGTTGCCTTTTGCATGAGATGAGCTGCAGGTTTATTTATGGAAAAGCTGGTTCTTTCTTGTCATTGACTTTGGTTATCATAATCTATACTGCAAGACTTTAACCTGTGGTGGTTCCTGCTTTTCTGCTTAACTTCAACCAATTAACTAACCTCCAAGGGTGATAGTTTGGGTCGAATTTTTAAAGCAAGTGAGTTATACTAAACACATCTAAACGGTTTATTTTTATGGATTAAGCAGGTTAACATCAAGCTTTGGAAAAGGCCTGCTAAAAACTTTGACCCCCCTTATTTCCTGACCGTGCTTTAGTCTGCAATGGAAATCAAACCTTCAGTGTGTATGTATGTGTGTGTGTGTGTGTATATATATATATATATATATATATA